GAGCGGAGGCAGCCTGGTCCTCATGCTCCCCACTCCTGCTCCCACAGCAGCAGGCTTGCGGGGGGCACACGCCAGCTTGGCTGAACACCGCACCTTTCAGCTAGGTGTGCCATGGCACCAGGTTCTGGGCAGTGAGAGTGTCGGCACCAGTGTAGAGGGAAATGTGGAGGCTGTGCCCTCAGAAGGAAAGAGCGAAGCCTCCCCTTGCCCCCCGCCCCTGCCAGGCCAGCTGGGTCGCAGATGCGATGGGCAAGCACGTGGAGCCAGAGCTGGGGCTCCGAGCTGAGTTTGGCAGAGCTGCCCTGACAACCTCAGACTATCTTCCTTTGGACTCTTGTGTGAGAGGAAAATAAACTCTTAACTTGTTGAAGCCACTCAGTATATTTTAGGATCATTCTTTTTAAACATCTTAGGGTACACCAGAACCAGCGTGGCAGCCTTTCAAACCATAATGAGGAGTTGGATTTAATCCTAATTACAATGAGAGCCCACTGAAAGCTCTAGATGATCTATACCTTTGTCATCACTTGATATTTTAGGCATGTTTGTTTTTTAATGTTAGCTATAAGATGAAGAATGTCTGAGGATCTCATGTTCAACATGATTAAAAACAAAGATTAAAGTGAAAATAAATGAACTAGAGACCAGGACAGGAGACAGTATCAGCGAAGCTAACAGCTGCTTGTAAACAGGAGGGTGAGGTGATCTGACTTACGTTTCGATAAGATGATTCTGGCTGCGTTACAGATAAAGAATCATAGGGGAGAATTAGTAGGCTAGTTAAAAGGATGAGAAATGATGGTGGATTTGTGGAGGATGGTATCAGTGGACATGAAAAGAGGTGAGCAACTTCAGGTTACATTTTGGAGATGGAGCCCTGAGGCCTGGTTGGTGGGTAGGAGTGGGAGAGAGCGAGGCATCAAGGATGAATATGCACCACTGTGTGAATGAATATGCATGAACTGCAAACAGTTCTTCCTACTCCGTGGCGTGGCATTTCATATTCCTAATACTATGTTGAATTAAAATGGTGAAAGTAAACATCCTTGTCTTGTTCTGATCTTAAGGAAAACGCTTTTAGCTTTTCGCTGTTGAGTATGATGTTAGCTGCGGGTTTGTCATATATGGCCTTCATTATGTTGAGTGATGTTCCCTCTATTCCCATTTTGCCGAGAGGTGGTTTTTTTCCTATCATACATGGATGCCGGAATTTGTCAAACACAGTCAATTGATTTTTGACAAAGGTGCAAAGGCAATTAAATGGAGAAAGGATAATCTTTTCAACCAATAGTGCTAGAACAGTTGAAGATAAATATATAGTATCTTGACCCATACCTTGCACCACACGCAAAAATGTACTCACAAAGTATTACAGAACTAAATGTAAAGCCTAAAACTATAAAACTTTTAGTTGAAAACAGAAGGGGAAATTTTTTCTTTCCTTGGATTAGGCAAAGATTCTTAGATACCACACAAAAAGTATAATCAATAAGAGAAAAAAAATATTGAATTTCATCAACATTTAAACTTCTACCCTTTGAAAGACAGTGTTAAGAAAATGAAAAGAAAAGCTACGGGTTGGAAGTTAATATTTCAAAATGCATACTTAATAATTTTTGTCCAGAAAAGATAAAGAACTCTCAAAACTCCATAATAAAAAAACAAGCAACCCAATAATATAATGGGCATAAAATTTAAACAGACATTTTACCAAAAAAGATATGTGGGTGGTAAATAGATATGTGAATGCTTAACATCATTATAGTCACTAGAGAAATACAAATTAGAACAGTTTTAATAAAGTTAAGACTATTGAAATTATACCAAATTTCTTTTCTGACCAAAATGGTATGAAATGAGAACTCAATTATGTGAGGAAAACTGAAAAATTCACAAATGTATGCAAATTAAACAACATGCTATTAAACAACTGATGGGTCAAAGGAGAAATCGAGAAAAATTTAAAAATATCTTGAGACAAATGAAAATAGAAACACAGCATACCAAAACTTATGGGATGCAGCATGAAGCAGTTCTAAGAGAGAAGTTTATAGCAATAAACATCTATATTAAGAAAAAAGAAAGATCTAAAACAAACAACCTGATTTTACATCCCAAAGAACTAGAAAAAGAAGAAGAAACTTAGCCCAAAGTTAAAAGAAAGAAACTGACAGGATCAGAGTGAAAGTAAATGAAACAGAGACTAGAAAGACAAGAGAAAACATCAGTGAAACTAAAAGCGGTTTTTTAAAATAAAAATAAACAAAATTGATCTTTAGCGAGACTAAGGGAAAAAAAGAAAGAAAACTCAAGTAAATAAAATTAGAAATGAAAGAGGAGACAATACAACTGATAACACAGAAATATTAAATATCTAAGAAACTACTATAAACAATTATACACCAAGAAATTAGATAACCTAGAAGAAATGTATAAATTGCTAGAAACTTAAACCTACCCAGTATGAATCATGAAGAAATAGAAACTCTGAACAGACCAATTACTGGTAAGGAGATTGAATCAGTAATCAAAACCCGCTCAACAAAGAAAAGTCCAGAACCAGATGGCTTCACTGGTGAATCATACCGAGCATTTAAAGAAATGTTAATATCAATCCTTCTCAAATTCTTCCAAAAAATGGAAGAGGCAAGAACACTTCAAAACTCGTTTTATGAGGCAGACATTACCTTCATATTAAAGCCAGACAAGGACACTACAGGAAAAGAGAATTGCAGGCCAATATACCTGGTGATCATAGATGCAAAAATCCTCAACAAAATATTTGCAAACTTAATTTGACAGCACATTAAAAATATCATACACCATGATCAAGTGGGACTTATTCCTGGGATTCAAGGATGGTTCAACATATACAAATAAATAAATATGATACACAATAGTAAAATTAATGATAAAAATCATATGGTCATCTCAATAGATGCAGAAAAAACACTTGGCAAGCTTCAACATCCTTTCATGATAAAAAACACTCAACAAATTGAGTAGAGAAGAAATGTACTTCAACATAATAAACCTATATATGACAGCCCACAGCTAACATTATACTCAATGGTGAAAAGCTAAAAACTTATCCTCTAAGTTCAGGAACAAGACAAGGATGCCCATTCTTACCACTTTTATTCAACATAAAAGTGAATAAAGTCTAGAAGTCCTAGCCAGAGCAATTAGGCAAGAAAAAGAGATAAAAGGCATTTAATCAGAAAGGAAGAAGTAAAATTGTCTTGGTAGATGACATGATATTATATATAGAAAACCTTAAAGAAGCCACCAAAATATGATTAGAATTAATTAATTAAATCAGTATAGTTGCAGTGTACAAAACCAATAAACAAAAATTAGTTCCATTTCTATACACTATTGACCAACTATCAGAGAAATTAAGAAAACAATCCCATTTAATAACATTAAAAAGAGTAAAATACTTAGAAATAAGTTTAAGGAGGTGAAAGATCTGTACACTGAAAACTACAAAAGAAACTGAAGAAGACACAAACAAATGGAAGGATATTCCTTAGTATTGCTA